CATCTTCAGGACTTCTGCTCAAAAGGAGCTTAGTATCCCACCTTTTTAAGGCTATTTTCAGGGCTCCTAGGCCTAAAAATTAAGATGTGACATGGCCCACAATCCAATTCAAAATCCTAAACCAATTTAAAACTTTATCGGTTACTATTCACTAGTAACATTCCATAATTTTTTCAGACCTCCAAAAATTTATTTCTCTCCATAATAATTCAAATTTTAATATGAGAACATGATCTGAAAATTTTAAGAATTTTTTACCACCTCTAAGTATTTATTTTGAATTTTCTCCGATTAGATCTCTATCGGTGTCACTGCGGAAAAATAAATTTCCTAAAATAAATTCCTGAGCTTCCAATGCCTAAAAATAATTTTATAAATTCAAAAAAAATATTTATATTTTTTTTATATTTTTTCCAAATTTATTAAAGACTCTAACTAACTAGAATAATTATTTTCCTCTGATTTTCCAATATTTTTCCCAAAAACCTCCATTATCGGGAAATTCTGTAACAATTTATTTTTACAATAATTTCACCTTTTGGGCCTCAATCAAGTTTTCAAGACCTCTAATTTTTACTTTTTCCTTTTTCAGGGATTTTCTAGAATTTTTCTCATAATTTTTTGTTTTGCCCTTCTTAGACCGATAATTACAAAAATGCTAGCCCGAACCCTATCAGAGTTTATGGCCCTTATCCCAATTTTTAATTCCCTATACCCATATGAAATTTTTTGGGATGTGACAATTAAGGGATAAAATTCAAGGGTATTCTTGGGACATGATGAAAGTATTTTGCTGCAATAAAATCTAAAAGAAAAAAAAATCTTTCACCAATTTCTCAGCTAAAGCATTCAATTAGGAAAAGTTGAAAATAGGCCCTTTGACTTAGAAAATGTAAAGAATTAATAAAATTACAAATAGTTAGTTTATCTAAGGATGCATGTCATTGTTCTAAGAGGGAATCTAGAAGTTGACTCTACTATAACTTGACTTAACACCTCACCCATTCATCTCTCAAGCTCTCTGCCTCCTTCTTTGTCTTATCACCATCTTTTCTTCTGGCTCAAAAACAACTCTCATATCTTCACCATCAAAATTTCTCTTGCTTTGGATCTTTCCACTTTCTTTCTTCTTTCATCTTGCAGAACCATTCCCTTCATTCTTCAAGTTCTTTATTTCTTCCTTATGGATCCTACATCATCTCTCATCTTGGTTGATTTAGTTTTCCACTTGCCCAGTTCAATTGTGTTTGCCTAGAGGATGCCATGCCTGGTTTCATGTTTTAACTATAATGGAAAATCTTTAGTTCTCTAGCTTACTTCAGAATGTCCAGTGATTTGTGCGAGTTCTGTGATTCATTGTATAATTTTGTAATCTGAATTGCTTGTATTAATTTGAAGCTTGAGGATTGTTTGGACTTGTTAATTGGTAACTATTTGTAAAAACCTGGTTAGTACTTGCTTTGTCTTTTTTTGAGATTGTGTTGATTATAGATTTGAGCTGAGTTGAATAATTTTTGTGATTGATACAATTGAGTTTATAATAGTTCATAGTTTGACTATTGGAAGAGGAATTAGTTCGTCATATTAACTGTTCTGAACTGAATCACTTAATCTCATTGTAATTTTCTATAGTCATAGAAGTTGCAATGAGCAGTTTGGCAAGTTGTTGGACATTTCCTCTTTAAATTTAGTTCTGGATTTTTCGATTCAAAGGTGAACTAGGAAGGCAGAGGCATAATCTTTAGGTGGATACTGCATCAATAATGTTAATCTTCTTCCTTGATTCATTGCTACTGTTTCTTAATAGTCTGTTATTGTAAAAGGAAAAAGAAAAACCAAAACTCATAAATATCAATCATCTCTATTTTACTAACTTTTCATACAAAAACTTAAGCTTGTTAATTTGATTAAATTGTGACTCATAGGATTGTTAGGAAATTTTATTCCATTCAAGCTCCTTGAGAACCGACCTAGGCTAGACTCTATTTCCACATTTAGCTTAGTAACTTTTGAAGAGTAAAATGACATGCTTTTCACCCACTCCTATTTCAAATTTCTTCCATACCTCATAAATATATACTACACTAAGTAAGTGAGGAGTTTGCTTTTTTTCTAAACATCTAGCATAGCATTTGACCCACACTTATATTTAGTCTTTAGGACTTTAACCCACAAAGCTTTTGAATTAGTCACAAGTTTCTAATAAAGCTTCATCATAAAAGCCTCATTTTCAAGTAGCATTTAACACCTTGATATTATTTTCACAAAGTATTTAGCACTCCCTGATATTATTGTCCATTTACATCCGCCATGCCTAATCTTATTTATATAAAGTTTATGGTGCTGGTTGCACAACAAATAAAATTGCTATCTAGCGTAAAATGCAAGAGCGCTAGTTGGAAGTAGTATAAAAATATCATTTCCACGAAGACTAAGGCAAATGTGCTCCTAATTAGGTTGAGTGAAAAATCAATTGGAATCAAGATCTTCATTCAGAATTCAGTTGTTTTACAATGAGAAAATTAATAGGGAAATTAAACTAAATTTGTAACTTTGACTTCTAGATAAATGGAGGCTAGGATTATCTGTCCTTTTTGCACTTCATGAAATTCAATTAAATCCCTCTCAATTAGCATGTAAGTGAAAACATGTTTGTCTAATGTTCTAGAGTATTTGATTAGGCATTCTCAAGTCAAAACCAAATTTCAATCATCATTAAAATGCACAATCTCTTGCAACATTTAATGAAGACAGCTTGAAGTATCAACCTTAATTTGACAATATTTGGTAGTAAACATATCTCTATTTTACCAATAAAGCATCCAACAATTGAATTTTAAGTCAAGCATGAATTTATCTAAGTTCTATATCCAAATTAGCTTTATCAAATCCAATCAAGATGAACAAAATAATCCAAGTGGTGGCTAAATACTAAGAAGCATTGAGCACAAGATAAATTCAACACGTAAATATCACTAAATACTAAAAGAGATGAATAATCGAGTGTCAATACATATAAAGGTTTGAAATAACCCTAGAACAAGCGGTTTAGCTACTCATAATTGGAAAAGAACAACAAATATATATGACTTCCATGTCCATATCAACAAATAAGAAAATAAAGGGAAAAAAGTTTAGCAAAATCAAAGAATGTAGCTTGAATCTCTTTAATCTTTCAATTCCAAGCTCTAAGATCTTCAAAATCCCAAATCCTAGCACCTTGCTGCTAAAACTAGTTTTTTTAGTCGCTCTCTCTATTCCTAGGTCAAGGATGACGTCCAAAATGCCCAAATATTGACTTCCTTAGGTGTTTTAATGTCAGAAAATGAAACTTTGCGTTTTGGGTACCATCAGGGTGTTATGACACTCCTACTGTTGTGCTATGGCACCAAAGGCATTGTTTCTCTTTGCACAAGGTGTCACGGCACTTCCATTTATATTGTCATGGCACCAGAGCTATCTTCTTTTCCTGGAATAGAGTGTCATGGCACCAGAGCTATCTTCTTTTCCTGGAATAGAGTGTCATGGCACCTAACACATGTTCCTTGACATTAGTAGATCTTCTTAGCTTGACTTCCATACTCATCAACTTGTTTATTTCATTTTTCTAACAATTTTACATCATTTCTTAATAATATTAACATTATACCCATTTGATGCCGTTGGTTAATTTCTCATTACCAACTCATGAAAACACTTCCAAATTTGCATTTATAACTCCCCAAATATACTCAAAATAGACTTCAAATCTATGAAAAATTGAGAGTCACTAATAAAGCACTAGAAAAATAACATTACGAGAACGGATGCAACATAAATAGGATTATGGTGTTTGTTGCAACTGAAAAGTAATATGAAGGTGATGGATGCTATCTTACCCATTTCTTTTCTAAAAACTTAATCACCTAACACAGTGCTTCTTTAAGTAAGCTCATTGTAAGGTATTAGTTTCAGTGCTCACCACCAATGAGGATAAAACTTTACATAATGCAAATCTAATCTACATGGTTCATATTTAAATTTTTGTGCTAATGTATAAAGTTGTCTCGAAAGCTTAAAATTGTCAATTTTGCCCTTTACTATTAAAAATATTAACAATTAATGTAGTTTATTAATGATAAAGTTGTTACAATTTTAAAATTTTATGAAAAATTTCTACTGAAAACAACGTCCGGGTGCCTAGCATTCCTAAGTAAAATTTTAGGACAAATTTGCATCTTAACCCTAAATTTTTACTTCCATATTTTGGGGAAAAAAAAAGTTGATAGATACACAATTTAAAATAAAAATAGTATCTTAACTATCATTTTTTAAACAAAGAAAATCAGGAAATAAAAACCATAGATCTAAAACATCAAATTTGAATTGTATAGATAAGATTTAGATAGTTTAGATTACATCACACCAATGAACACCAAACTGAATACTAGACCACGACTCGGCCGGTTGCCCCCTTGAATTTATGAACTGTAATGTTTATTCTAGCTAGCTCTTAAGCCAAGTTCCTATTATCCTGATGCCTTAAGATTTAAGACCCAGGCCAAATTAACCTCCTGAATTAGTAGGCCCAAGATACATATTAGCACTAATTCAGATACATCATACATGTAGCCGCTGAGAACATGTTATGAAGCTTGTTGGCTAAACAAAACATACCAAGAAAACAATTTTCTCCATATTGGATATTAGGAAGGCTAAGATAATGACATTATTTCGGATCACCGCAAGACTTTTTCCCATCTTTGGTTGACCACACAAAAAGCTACCAAACAAACAACCCAATTTTCTTGTCTTTTGCTTTTTGGGTTTTCTTCGTCATTCTCTTTCATGGTCTTCTCTGTGTTTTTGAAACACCCAGATACCCCCTTTTCGCTTTGAATTATCTCCTTCTTCGTACCCTCACACTGTACATGATTTTCTTTATCTAAGTTTTTGGTCGATCAAGTATTTAATATAACCATTATTGTTGCTGTTGATGAGATTGTTCAAGTTCTAAGAAAATGGGTTCTGATCACGAAGAGAAGGGAACAACAGAGGAAAAAGATCATGATGATGAGAGCCAAAGTACGAATTTTAGCAGAAAAGCGAGTGAGTCATCTGTGCATGTAACCGAGGAAGATGATGATGATGATCCAGGAGCCAAACTAGAGCTTGGTCCTCCTTGCTCTCTTAAAGACCAGCTCGAGAAAGATAAGGTTGGTCTCCCATTATGCTCAATCTTCAGAAATATCACATCTTTCTCATTTTTCTAGAATCAGTTTATATTTCGTCAATCAATGTGTCTCTTAATCCATCATGGGTTTATTCAATTGCCAATTAGACACATACAATAGAATTTACAAGTAAATAATAAGGATTAAGGTGTAAATTTATCTTGAAAATTTAAGATCGTAACAATATTACCCCCTACCATTAAATTTTTAAATTTTTGAGGCAAATTTACATTTAGAAAAACTTGTGATTGCCCAGCGTTCTTGAGTGATAACTTTCAAAACAAATTTACACTTTAACCCAACTAATGATACTCGTTTCTCAAACTCTTTATATAGTGTGCTAGTAGTATCAAAGTTCTTCTATGAAAAGTGATAATAGCTAATCAAAGATATGGTAAATATAATCATTGCGTCTCTTACCAATACCAAAAATCAAACGAGGTCTAATTGTGTAATTAACATTGTGATTCAACTAGAGCTCGCTTTCATGTATAATTTGGGTTTATTGTTGCCTTCTTTCTTAATTCGTTGAGCATATTATAGGACGATGAAAGTCTTAGGAAATGGAAGGAACAACTTCTGGGCAGTGTGGATATGAACAATGTTGGAGGTACTGTTTTCCTTACCACCTAATTATTGTATAATTCGAAGTTCTCATATTTTATTTTGGCGAGTTTATTAATTAATTTCTTATTTTACCAGCAATTAATTTCTTACTTTTGATGCTTTAGATTTAGGTGACTTTTATATTAATGATATAACTGTTTCAAAATGAAACAATATTTTAAAAAAAGACCGAGAAAATTGTAAAATCCCAAAGTAGGTATTTTCACAAAAAATATGGTGTTGTTTGCAAGTCAATCATTATCAAACATGTTTAAATGTTGTAACAAATTCTGATTTGGGATTTTGTAATTTTTACAGTTTTTATTTATCATTTTCCCTTTCAAAATTCCTATGTTCTCTTTTTCATTTGTTTAAAACCTTTTCTCAGACGTGGTCAAAGAAATTCCGGCAATGTTGGGGCTGTTTTTGGTTCAGAGGAGATTGGTGAACTATCGATTATAAGGGATAATTAAGGAGCGTAAAGGTCAAAAAAAAAAAAATTCACATGTCATCGTTATAAAAAATAAAGAAGAATTTAGGGGAAAAAGACACTATAATACCCTCAAAAATACTAAAAGACAAATTAGGATAGATGAATTTCAAAATCTCAAATCAAACCCTTTGTACTATTTCGAAATTTTAAAATATTTTAAAATAACAATATTGCCCTTACTCTCAGTCACTACTTTCACGTAATTATTGACTATTTTTGTTTCTAAACTTTTGATGACTACTTTTATTTAATTATTGACTACACAAGAGTAGTAAATAACTAACCAAAAAGTAGTCACGAGATCTCAAACAACACTCAATGCATTTTTTTTTAATTTTTAAAACAAAAGTAATCAATAGCGAGACCAAAGTAGTCAAACTAAATAAGAGTAGTCATCAAATTTTTAAAATTAAAAGTAGTCGATCACAATATTAGAGTAGTCAATAGTTAAATTAGAGTAGTTATTAAAGTTCTAAAAATAAATATAGTGAATAACTAAGAAAGAGTAGTTAATACATGAGAAAGAAGAGTCATCGGAGCTCCAGTGGCAGGCCACCTATAGGGTTACTGGCGCTAAAGCTCCGGTGGCCAAAAACTGGCGAAGAATGCTGAGGTGGTAATATTTAAGAAAACAAAACAAAGGAAAAAATAGTGAAGGGTATTTAGGTAATTTTTCCAGAATTGAAAATTCTGAAAGAGCACCAGGGGTCTGAACTCAGATTTTAAAATTCACCAAACTGATTTGTCTTTTAGCAATTTTTAGGGTATTTTATTATCTTTTTCTCAAGGATATGAAAAGAAATTCTTTAATTTTTTCCTTCCCTTTTTCTTACTAATACTTTAGGACCGTTTCGGTGTGCTGGAATTCAGAAGTATAAAATAATTAAGCTAGTTATTTGGCACAATTAACTAGTTACGATAATAAAAACTAAAGTAGCTACATATGCAGGTATAATTTTTCTGTTTCATTAATTCGATATTAGGGTTTTGAAATTCTCAGAAACTCTGGATGCTGAAGTGAAGATTACAAGCCTGTCAATTATATCCGCTGAGAGAGATGACATTGTTCTTCCAATCCCTGAAGATGGGAATCCACAAGGCCTATGGTTTACCCTCAAAGAAGGAAGCCATTACCGTTTAAAGTTCACCTTCCATGTCAGCAACAACATTGTGTCTGGCCTTAAGTACACCAATACTGTCTGGAAAACGGGTCTCAAAGGTGTGTATATCTATGTACATATCAAAAAATAATAACGTCTCTCGGACTTGGGGTGTTTGTTTCCCATCCTCTGCTACTCTCCCGCTGCCCCTTAAATTTTCCCAACTTTTCAGATATTTTTTTTAATAATTAGATTTTACATATGATGAGTAACATTTTAATATTTAATAGGGAAAAATGATGTAGTTTTAAATTTTTTTAAAGAAAAAACTCTAAATTAAAAAGAAACCGCACAATTTTATAGTATATTTTCTCTGAAAAATTATAAAACAAATCAAAACTGCAGCACGTTCTGCCCATATTAAAATGCCACTCATTTTATTTAAAATCTAATTATAAAAAAATAAGAAAAAAACATTTGGCAAGTTGGGGAAATTTAAGAAACAGTAAGTAGGGCAACAGAGAATGGCAGTACACACCCCAAATGCCTATATATCTATGTTTTGTTACGTACAAATCATTTTGAACATGTTACAAATTAAAACTGAAGTCTTAAGAGTTTATGAGAGTTGTTTGTTTCAGTGGACAGCGCGAGAGAGATGATCGGAACTTTCAGTCCTCAAGCGGAGCCTTATACGCACGAAATGCCCGAAGAAACCACACCTTCCGGCATGTTTGCTAGAGGCACTTATACAGCAAAATCGAGGGTAACTCACTCACTTATTAACAGAATACATTCAATTCATTGTTAGAATAAATATATACACGCACTATCATAAATACATACATATGTGTGTATGAGAAATTGATCACCTAGTTTTTGTAGATTTAATTATAACTTAATTCCTGAACTTTAACTCAGTATAACTCATTCCACATAGTTTTAACTCGGTTGAAAATTAATCTATACTTTAATTCAATACAACTTAGTCCTATAGAGTTTCAACCATTTAAAATGTTGGTTCCTACATTTTTGAAAATAAAATTATAACGACTAAAGGTTTTTTTTTCCAACTTCAGAGACTAATATTTTAAATGGCTAAACTATTGGTACTAAATTGCACCAACTCAAAGTTCAAAAATTGAGTTTCAACCAAGTCAAAATTATGGAGAATAAGTTTCAGCAAATTAAATTTAGGAACTAAGTTACAATTAAGACAAAAATATAAGAATTGAAAGATTGATTTTACTCTGTATGTATTCCTTCATCCTTTTTTATAAGAACCGTTTGAACATTTATAGAGACCAAAAAAAAAATTTCTTTTCAATTTTACCCTCGATTAAATGCCACAATCTCTCTTTTTTTCCTCTGTAAAAAGTCTTATTATTCCTAACGGCATTTAGTAGAGATATATTTGGAAACATTCTACAATCCTTATAACTTTCAATCGACTCTTATAAATTAAAAAGGGATGAAGGGAGTATAAAGAGAATACTTGCATGCAACTGTTCGCTTCAATACTATTATAACTTGAGTTAACTAATTAAGAGCATAAATTATGTCTTAAGGAAACTTTTTTTTGTCCCTGCTAATATATATGTGTGATGTGTTTTCTGTTTTGCAGTTTGTTGATGATGATAACAAATGCCATTTGGAGATAAACTATAGTTTTGATATCCGGAAGAACTGGGCTTGATTACTGAACATACACACACAATCTATCATATTCTATTTATAGAAATTTAGTTACCTTAGATTTTAGATTGCAATATATTGCACTCCATGTTTTTCCATATATAATTAGTTAATAGAGAAGAAGAAACATTCTTTGGCATTTGTTGTCCTAATTAATAAAATGTCTCAGGTTTGTTCCGGTATTTATGCTCCTCTAATGCTTTAAGTTATTTGTTCACAATTAATAGAGGAATGGTACTCTTCCAATCCTAAGTTATTTAACTAATTTGGGTAGTTGAAAATGTGAAATAAATTACATAATTCTAACAAATGTGACATGATCTTTCTAAAATACCTTTATGTAAGTTAGATAAATAATAGAGAAGAAGAAACATTCTTTGGCATTTGTTGTCCTAATTAATAAAATGTCTCAGGTTTGTTCCGGTATTTATGCTCCTCTAATGCTTTAAGTTATTTGTTCACAATTAATAGAGGAATGGCACTCTTTCAATCCTAAGTTATTTAACTAATTTGGGTAGTTGAAAATGTGAAATAAATTACATAATTCTAACAAATGTGACATGATCTTTCTAAAATATCTTTATGTAAGTTAGATAAATTAGTTTGAGAAAAAAATATAATAAATATAAAAAAAATAAAGTGGATGAAGGTCTTTACATTCAAGATCAAAACCAATTTCCTAACTAACCTCTACATTTAGGACAAGAGATGTATTCTCTTTCTCCTATATAAAAATATCGAGATATATATCACCTTCTCCCAATAATAATTATTATTTATATGAACTTTTAATTAAATGGCTGACAATTTTCACTTCATTACCAAACTACGCTCCTTGATCATAGTAGCTATTAAAAATATTTAACCACACCATATAGGCATGCTTAAATTATCCACACAATAAAAGAGATTAAGCCCATTTTCAAATTTTAGCTTCTCATTTAAAAAAGTGACGGGAAAAATTTATCCCTTGTAATATTTAAAAAGAGCACTAGGCACCACAATAAAATGTTGGGCCCAAAATTACCTATGATGATTCAAAAAGAACCCAAAAATGCTACTTTCGTTAAGCTGACCTAACATCACTTTAACTGAGTCTAGTTGGATTATCTGCATGGGCTAGTTTGCCTAATGAGATTGTTTTATATGGCAGGTAAGGAAGACTAATTTTTATGTGTAAAGAGCCATTAGAGCTGAGAGCTTCCTCTACTTAGGCCTCTATTAAAATGGGCACCAACTCCTGCAATGAAATTTATCGAGGTAGAAGGTGTGTTATGTGTGGCGAAAAAGGTGATCTAACTTGAGCAAGGAAAGCAGACATAAGGAGAGGAAGGAGATGGCATCATCATCTTACTTGATGACAGGAAGAACGAGAAGAAGGATAGTGATGATCAAAGCACCCTGCCACATGGATCAACATCAAGATCGTGCGAGGTATTGCCATCACAGAATGGTGGCTTCTCATTGGACATCATGGACAGAAGGCAACCCAAGAAAGAGATTTTATGGGTGTCAAAACTATTTCTTTGTCTACATCTATCTCATCTAACCCTTTTAGTCCTTCTATATCCTCTATCACGTCTTGTGTCTCACCTCTCTCAGTCCCTTCTGTTTTATTTATTTTGTTTTCCCCTATACTGGTGTCAACCCGAGATTCCCATTGCCAAATGTGTCCAGTTTAATTTGTCTAATACTCTCAACTATGGAACTATATATGCCCCTCTCGTAGACATGTCTTCTTTCTTCCACACTATTTCTAGCCAGGATACAAATTTGAATCAGCTTCTATAGTAACCTCGCGTACTTTTCTTGTAATGATTCCTCCATTTTTCCCTTTTCCTCTTTGATATCAATGTTACCTACTAAATTAGATGTCCTTATATCTACAGGAAAAAAAACAATAATCACTATCAATAGAGAGCTTCCATGACATTTCACTATGCAAATACAATATTAACAAGTTTTGGGTCCTATTCAAAGCTTAACTTTTGCTTTTGCCTGCTCTGACTTTGCCATTCCGTAGAGAATCCTGTCACATGCGTTGAAGATTTCCACCACATTGACCTTTCCACCCTCTCACTTTATTGCTTTCCTCATCAAAAGCCTTAGATTCTCTTTTCAGTTGGTTCTTCAATTTTCACTGTCGCAACCTTTTCTTTTATCGAAGGAGCCCTATACTTTTGCTCTTTCTCGATTACCTCTCTTTGGTCACATGTGATCCTTTTTTCTTTTTTTTTTTCAATTTTCTGCCAGCATACACAATTCATTCACTCACTGCCATGAATGTTCTTCTCCTAGTCAATACACAACCACATTGCACTTCATAATGTACATATCACCCTTCCCCGTCACCTAATTTGGTTAACATTTTCAAAGTAACAATCAACGTTGGTCAACTTAACAGAAGTAGTATTTTTGGGCTATTTTTGAATCATCACCGGTAATTTTGAGTCCAATATTTTAGTAAGGTGCCTATGCTCCTTTTGAATATTACAATGGGTAAGTTTGCCCATTTACCCTTTAAATAAAACCTTTTTCCTCTTGTTTATTCTTCCTTTTGGGTCCAATATTTTAGTAAGGTGCCTATGCTCCTTTTCCTGGATCTGAAATTTATTCTCCATGATTGTTTTTTATAATTGAATTGATATAAAAAAATTAGTAAAGGAGTAGGATTATGATTCCTTTCTGAGAGTGATAATTGAGTGAGATGAGTGAGAAGACTAGTGAGAAAAAGAATGTGTATATATTAGTTGAATGTCACGGGGTTCCGTTGAAGGAAAACTAGGATTGTTTTGAGGTGATATGTTCTCATCATGGCGAAGAGAAAGTAATGGATCAATGTAGGGAGGAAAAGAAATCTCATTCCTAATCAAAAAGAAGAGTGTGTGGAAAACACCAATTTCATGCAAAGCCAAGCTCATTCCTGATTAGAGGAGGAAGTTATAGCCCTTGAACTCAAAATCTACCCACGCTAAACATCAAAGATGAAAGGCTATAAAATAGTTGTGTTAACCATGAAAGGACACGCTAATTCTCACCTTATTAAGGTAGAATACAAATACAAGAATGATGAAGAATAGAGTGTAATCTAAGAACTTTGACACCTAAAAATTATTTTGCGTTTAGATGACCTGACAATAATTTTTGTAAACAATTGCTTTCTGATAGCCTTTGGTTAATACTGGGAAAGGTGAAGCTCAAATTTTAATCTATAGTGCAACAAAGTCAGGAAGGTTACAATTTAGGTGAGGATTCCCACTCTACCATTGAATACTCTTACTGCTCGCCAGTGCAAAAACAATAGTACCATTATGGAATGAGGGAAGTTTGCTAGAGTTAGCGTGGAAGTGGATTTAAACAAGAAGCTCTAGTCTTGATTTGTTTTAAGGAAAAGAATTTTTACGATTTAATATGAGAAGTTAGATGTGATTTGTTTTAATTAGGGTGAGTATGGACATAGAAAAGAGCATTATCCTCTCAATGCCTTAGTTGCAAGGGATAATACAACAAAAGAAATAGACACTCTAACCTATGAAGCAAGGGTGTCATAGAAGGAGCTTAATACAAAGCAATCATTGATTAGTATCTTGGGAGTCTCAATTAACGAGACCTATGGCTCTTGGATGCAAGCAAAACATGCTTTTCAATAGAGAACTCAAAAACGATGAGGCAAAGAAGAAACAACAACCACAGTTTATAGGAGTAGGAAAGTCAAATATGAAAGAACAGAAAGCTACCTCAAACTCACGATTTAACATACTTTAAGAGGCAAACATACCTGTCTTATCAGCTGAAAGGAAAGCAATTAACCAAAATATGGGTTCTATTACAGCATGGAGGAAGAAAAAGGGGAAAACTTCTTTCAGTAGAGAGGATACAATTTTTTGACATCAAAGAAAAGAGCAAGAAGGGAGTAAGTTTGAAAAGGGTGAAAGCAAGAAAACTCAATTCATGAAAGAAATGGCAAGTGACAAAATAAGGGATCTGAATAGAAAGGAGCAGCGACATGAAACTGAAAACAAAGAAAACCCTTTTGTGAACCCTATGGATTTTTGTAGAGGACTAAGCCCTTTCAATGCTTTGTCCAATGTGAAGAAAAAGAAAGTGGCAGGGAGAAAAAGAAGAAGCGTATCCAGGCCGAAAGTGTTATCCCCAAGACTTAAAAGAAAGCTGACCATGAGTATCCACCAACTAGTGATTGGATCACTTACAAGTCTTGGCCCAAGTAAATTAAATAACGCCACAAGAGAAATGATGGATAATAAGGAGCATAAATGGAAAAAAAAAAAAATGAAGACATGGATATCATAGTACAAACAGAAAATTTGTAACATCCTAATTTTTCATTCTTAAGATTTAAATATTTGAAAAAAAAATTATTTTATGAAAAATCCAATTTTATCTTATAATTATTTGAACAAAGAAAGCTTACCCAAAAATTTGATTTTTTTTTTTACAAGATAAAATTAGAAGATAAAAAGTGGGGAAAATATACAAGTTCGGGCCTTAGACCCATTAGGGTAGTTTGCTCTAATTTCTTTTATATGTAGCCTCGAATTGTCCCAACTCCACGCCGCCTTTTTCTTTCTTCTTCCCGTCCATTCGGAGCCTAAGAGTCCTCCCCCACTCCTTTTCAAGCTGAAGTTTCACTTTGTAGATATTTTTGGTAAGTAAATCAATCTCTTTTCATTAAACTCTCTTCATAAAAATTATTCTACTTTTTTAGATCTATTCAATGATAGTAATTTTATACTGCTTAGAGAAAATTTTTGAGTCTCAAGTCTAGAGAAAGTATTGAGTTTTGATGATTGATGATTGTAGTATTATTGAGCTATTTTAGTAGGTCATTTTTATCAGTTTAGTTTTATTTATTAGATAACTTAATATTTTAAAATAATTATTATAGCTAAAAAGTCTATTATGTGTCAAAAATATGATATTTATGCCATGAAAATTGTGATTAGATTATTTATTTATGAATACTTAAGGTACTATTAAATT